AAAGTTTAGATGTTTGTTAATGTTTGTAGCCTAAACTGCTGAACGGATCTGGATGAAATTTGGAATAGACCATCCCCCCTTCCCCATAACTTAGCCCCCCATTACTGTCAGCAAAGGAACCATAGCTCGTTTAAAATAATGTTCATTACATTTACCTCATTTCAATTGGATTAGTACATAATTTTTTAATATACACTAATTCCATATTTTCGGGTAAAATATGGTGAGAATTTCTGGTTCTGTTACTCACCATACATATGGTGAGAGGCGGTGTTGGGTCGTGACGTCACCGTGTTCATCGTACCCGTGTGGTGGCCGTGCATACCCATCCTGTTATGGATATACATAGATGTAGTGAATGGATATACATAGATGAAGTTAATGGATATATATAGATGTAGTTAATGGATATATACAGATTGACTTTGATAGAAATCATTATAATTTTTTTAAATTGTTTAAAATATAAAATTTTGTAAATATAATATATCAAATATGTATAATTAATGTTACATGATTTAAATAAATATATAAAATTTTAAATTTGGAATAAAAAAGAATGGAAAGTGGTAATGGTGCCAGGTGAAGGGATTTATATGATACTTGGATATCCTTTACTCTTACCTAAAAGGATTTTTTGGATTTTTTTGTTGATATTTATAGGTAGTGTTAATTTTGTTAATAAATGTTATGGTTTTACCTGGGTAGAGGTACCGGCGGTAGTGTCGGATATCCACCGAACATGGCAGAGGAGGGACGGGTGGCCATTGTCTGCGCAGGGTCGGGCTGCTGGAACGAAATTATTATTAAAAAAAAAATAATATTACAATATTTGAAGCTATTTTACTAAATTTTAATCTATAAACCAAAGTTTTATTATATTTAGTAACTATTAATGGATTTCCTAAGAAAAAAGATAAAATACCCATATTTTTTGAACACCATGTATTGGAAATGATAACGAAAACCCTGTTTTTTTTAAATTCCCGTCTTTGTGGTCTTTAGCTGAGTTTGTTCCGGATAATCTCCGAAACGGGTGGACCATTTTTCGCGATATTTTGACAGAGATGTAGCTGATACATACGGGAATGTTATAGATTAGTTTTTATTATATTTCAGTACTTTAGTAAAACTCACCGCATAATGGTTCGCCTGCGCCATCGCTTCAGCTATTTGAGCCCAGCGCATGCGTTCTTCTAACGATACCTGGAATATACAATAAGTAAGTGCATTTCATGGTGGAGAGGTATAGTATTAGGATGGCGTTTCGTGCGTCCATTTTAAAACACACACACCTTAACTACTGCGTATCTATACTATTATAATAAAGCGTAAACACACACTTCTCTGTTGCCTAAGATGTCAGTAATTACAGCATATTTTCGAATAACTCTTTTTTTTAAAAAAAGCCCTACACTTACGTCACGCTTCAGGCTATATATTTTAACGCCATTAATCTTGGGGGTAAATATTTTGGATAAGAACCCAAATGTGGGAAAGAGACCATAAATTGCTGCCAACATCAAGGAAGCAAGGTTGACATCGTGTCATTTTGACATTTGCAATTGATAATTTGACAAATGTGAACAATGAAATGATTTTTTTATAATTTCATGCGGATGAAGTCGCATGGGAACAGCTAGTTATTATATAAAATCTGAAGGTTACAGACTTACTGCTAATGACTATCGGACTGCCTCATTGCGGGAAATACATAGCCTTTTTATAACATTGGACTGATGATGTAGTCTTTTATACCAATAAGGACTTTATAACAATAGGAAGGGGAAATATCTTTATTTGCGTCTATGGGCAGCGGTTCTTCGCCTTTTCGGCGAGGTAATTGCTTACTCGTGTCCCAATGTTATAACGTCTAAAAATATATGTCAAGATTTTAAATAATAAAGGATTTTGCAGTTGACTTGTAATCTACAGATCCTGTAAAACTTTGTCATGTAACAATGTGATTGTAGATTTTCTAATTTCCTATGTAGACTAGCTGTGCCCGTGCGACTTCATCCGTATAAAATTATGAAATTTTTATTTTATTGTTTACATTTGTCAAAATACCAATTACCTTTCTATGGCCATTTTGCTTCCTTGATGTTGGCAGCAACTTATGGTCTCTTTTCCACATTATGGTTTTTATCCAAAATATTTACCTCCTAAGTTTAATAGCATGAAAATATATAGCCTAAAGCGTGACGTAAGTGTAGGGCTTTTTATTAAAAAAAAAGGATTATTTAAAAATATGCTGTGATTGCTGACATCTTAGGCAACAAAGAAGTGTGTGTTTACGCTTTATTATAATAGTATAGATAATTTACCCGACGTTCTTAGTGCGAAGGAAAACATGATGCATGCAGATATTGGTGAAGAAGTTGAAAGATATGCGTGAAGTTAACCCCCTATGGCCAAATTACCCTCAACTTAGCCTCCTACCCCTTGAGCCTGCCACCTTTTACTAAGTGGTAGGCATGCTGTAGTTCCGGCGCGCTTATTCCAAGGGAATTTTGGGGAGTATGGTCCGTTCCCAGAGGAACTGCTAGAGCTGGCGGCGGAGGAGTGCTAACAGCATACCATCAGTAGGAGGAACCAGAGGTTTGCCCCATTATGGCGAAAATCTCATTTAATTAAGCGTCCTTCAGTGCGCGGAATATACGTAAAGTATTACCCTCTATATGTATAGAGCGTCGGTGGCTCAGTGGTCTAAGCACTTGACTTGTAATCTACAGGTCTTGGGTTCGAATCCCGCTGTACCAATGTGATTTTAGATTTTTCTTATGTATATAATTTACCCGACGTTCTTACGGTGAAGGAAAATATCGGCGAAGAAATTCAAAGATATGTGTGAAGTCAACCCGCAGTACAGCGTGGTTGACTATGTCCTAGTCACCCCTTAGGGTAAGCTCCGAGCCCCTCGGTGGGGAGGTATCAGGTGGTGATGATGATGAAATATAGATACCTGGTAGGGGGGTTGTCCGACAGGCGGTGTCTTGATAGTGTTAGAAGCCATGTAGTTGAAGACAGGCGAGCCCATGCCCGCAGCCTTCTGCTCACGAGACCATTTGCGACTGAAAGAAATAAACCATTCATTAATTACCACATAAATAAATTAACTACCTCCTAATATAAATGCGAAAGTTTGTTAAAGTTAGCTTAAAATGCTGAACAGATCTTGATTGTAATAGATGTAGAGGATATTCTGGAAGGACATATTGGCTACTAACTATTTTTTTTAAATTTCATGCAGATAGAGTCGCGGACGAAAGATAGTATTATAAATGTGAAAGTTTAGATGGATGGATGTTAGAATTTGCCCCCTAAAAGGCTGAACGGATTTTGATAAAATTTGGCATAATCCAGAAGAACACAGACTCCTTTTGATCTCCATAGTTACAGTTCTCGTGGGATACATTATTTTTCGTCATATCTTATTGAAAATACACATATAAAATGAGAAGTAACACATGACACAATCTCTTTGTAACCTAAACGGCTGAAAGGATCTCGATAATTGTGATAGATGTAGAGGAATCCAGAAGAACACAGGTTTATTGATCCTGATAGTTACGGTTCCCATGGGATACATCATTTTTTCGTCATATCTTATTGAAAATCACACATAAAAAGTAAGAAGTAACGCATGACAGGATCCCTGAAAACTGTCAGATTACCAAAATTCATAGTTTTTCATAGGATGTGGCAAGCCAGTGACTTACCTCCAGGACAGTAGGGCGGCCAGCGTGAGCGCGATGACGAGCGCGGCGGCGAGCGAGGCGCCGACCGCCACGCCGACCACCTCGCCGTCCACCTCGCACGTCGACCCGTAGTACCCGGACGAACAACTACACCCATATTAGTCACTATATCGACTAAAGTGGACATTTCTGCTTATATCTCGGTAGAAGTGAGAAAAGCTATCAGCCCCCTTAGAGCGTACACTTTTGATTAGGGGCTGTCCATATATTACGTCATTCTAAATTAGGGGGGGGG